GACATGATTTCAGGACCGTTGATCAAAAAGAAAAATGCACCCGTCTCGTTTGCAACGGCCCTCGCGATTAAAGTCTTTCCAGTGCCAGGTGGCCCGTAAAGCAAGATTCCCTTGGGAGGTTTGACGCCAATGGACTTGAAAAGTTGGGGGTGCCTAAGGGGAAGCTCGACCAATTCCCGAATCTGGGCCATCTGCTTCCTAACTCCACCCACATCATCATACCCAACCTCATCAAGCCTATCCTCGTCTTCTCTCCTCACGGGATCTCCCTCACAAAAGATCTCAGTATCGGGAGCTACAACACAGTACTCGCTGGGGTCAGTCTCGATGACCTTAAATTCTACACTTCTCATGCTGCCCCTCACAAGAAAATGGTCCCCTTTCCTAACTGGGCGGTATGCTTCCAGGAAGTAAGCTGCGCAAAAAAAATATGTACCAAAACTCTTACAACTACTAAAGATTGCTTTGTAGGAGCTAAGAAAACAAGATAATAATTAATATGTGAGAGCTTACGTTTCAAGTACGCATCAAAGAGATTCCCGGTGAGTCCTTCGATTGTGTCATCCAGGGGTAATATGTGAACGCGGGTTCCGTTTTTCACATCCGGGCACTGGTGTACAGATACAACGTCACCAAGACGAACCCTTAGGTTTGCTCGGACGACCTTATTCATTCGAATCTTTGGCTCTTCCAAAGTCTCGTCAGCAAAGGCAATGCATACTGTATCCTTTCTTTTCTTCCCCTGAGGAACCACAAACAGCACAATGGTTAATTACAGGATATCGGAATAAAGTGCACAGAGATCAAAACGATAAAACCCCCCAAGGGTAAAAGATTATGCATGTTTTTCCAGTTAATTGAACCATAAAAGGTAACGAACACGCATCAAGTTATTCTATCATCTTACAGAACAATTGCACAGAGTATGTACTGGTGTTAGTAAAAGAAATTCTAGTTAACCCACTATTCAACGGTTACAAGATCATCAGGGTTCAAATGCCATCAAGCAGAAAATATAGAAGCTTCCTTATGCAGCCACAAGCCAATTGCAGTTATGGATGAATACCAATTATTCCAACGTCTAACGGCAAATACGGAATTCTCCGAATTTAACGTAAATAAACTAAAAAATGAACCTTGATCAAGATAGTGTCACCACCGAAAAGCTGGAGCTTTTCCATGGTGGCGGGATGGAGGAAGACAGCGGAGTTGTCATCGTTAACTGCCTCATCGATGATCAGGCGATTAGCAGCCTTTTTCCTCTCCAGAATCGCTGTCGAGAAGTCCTTCTTTCCACCTTTGCTGTTCAAAACAAAGAGATAGAGAAGAAAAATAAAATGTAAGATTTCCTGCTATTAACTCGTCCAAAATTGGAGCAACCAAGGAGGAGACAAGATTTCATAGGAAAAACTTAGTTTAGTTCGGATATACTCACGAATCAGATGATTCTGCTTTGCGACTCATGCTGATGTTTCTTCTGCTGTGAGAAAGAGCGAAAAAAAAAAACAGGGATAAAGTGGAATGGTCCAATGAGAGATATATATAGAGAGGTGGTCATGCGAGAGTAGAGATTTTTCCTTTTCCTATCTTAATTAACATTCCTTTTACGACTTAAAATTGCATTTTTAGTTATTGCCATACAAATAGGCTAAAGTTTCTGAATGATATGAATAAATAAATGACTTAAAATTGCATTTTTAGTTATTGCCATACAAATAGGCTAAAGTTTCTGAATGATATGAATAAATAAATAATCAAAATCTAGAAACAACGTCCAATTAAATGTATATAATTTTTTTTATTAAATAATAAGTTTTATATTAATTTATTGGGTTCATACTCATATCTCAACAATATATCAAATTAGTACAATTTTCATATATTAGTGTTGAATTAAAAAGCATATATAAAAAATATTAAAGTTTTTATTTTATTCTATTTTTTAAAACTAATATAAATTTGTATTTTAATTAAATTATCAAACTATATTGTTCTAATCATAATAGTTGAAACACCCGTATATAATATTAAATTTGGGATGTCATACTACTTTTTTTACATTTATATGTAATTTTAAAATTAAATAATTAAATATGTATTTTTATTATATTGAAAGCATACCAATTAAATTTTAAACAAAGATCATTTCTAAAAGAATAATATCATATTACTTCATCTTCGAAATGAGTAACNAATATATTTATATTCTAAAAATTAATGCACTTGATAGTAAGATACAAAATTAAAAGAGGAAATGGCATGTCTATGTGATCTTAATATTTTGTTATTCATACATATATATATATATAGGATTGGATCAAATGAGGACAACTCTTAAAATAGGAATGTGAGACCTGATCTCAACGTCCATTCAGCTCAACAATCTGACGGAGAAGATTAACTATATATATAATTAAGATCAGTGAAAACAAATCACAAAAACAGCGTAACACAAAAATATCTGCATAGAATCTCTCAAATCCTTCTCAATCTCGACTTTCCTTTCTACTCAATATTGTAAACGATTTTGCGATCTGATTAGAATATTGTATTAGGTTTCGATCAATATTACAAAAAAAAGGCATCTGAAATTTGAAGAATCGCGGAAAAAAAAAATCAATCGGATCGATCGAGCGATTTTTGAGAAAACTTCAATTAAACTGCAATGGCGAATGAAGAAACTTCAACAGAGATCGCAGCAAATTCAATGACAGCAATCAAAGCAACTCCAATGCCGAAAGTAGTGGAAGAAGGTATTCTGGTATCTTTTTTATTTTCGTATTAGTTGAATGAAATTGAAATAAACCTGTGTTGATGTATTAACGCTGATAAAAAACTGTTGTTTAAGTAGAATGACATAGATAATGTTGAAATATTTTTTCATGTTAGTATTAAATTTTGATTCATGATTGAATATCCGTTTTCTAAAATATAGAAGATAAGATCATCTATATATGCATTTTAAATATCTAAATATGCATATACGTATAAGTAATCATGCACAGTGTGTTTGATTGATGCAGAATCCAGTTATTTTTACATTACAACTATATATGCATTGAACTAGTTATAAATATGCATGATTGTTACACTAAATATGCTTGATTCTATGATTAAGTACGCAGATTTAACTGATTGTTGCATTACACCAGTTATTCTCCATTACAACTATATAAGCATGAAACTAGTTCTAAATTTGCATGATTTTCACACTAAATATGCATGCCTCTATAAGTAAATATGCGAGTAGTTTTAACTGTTACATTAATCCACTAAATATGAATGTCTACACATATAGATTGAGCTAGTTATAAATATGCATGATAGTTATATTAAATATGCATGCTTTCAAAAGTATATATGCATGCATAATTCCCTGTTAATTGATATTGTACTAAATTTTGACAATAGAAACTAACTATGCGTGACTATTACACTAACTATGCAAGTGTACTAAAGTAACTATGCATCAATTTTGGACTACTCATGCAGCTTCACTGTACAATAAAATAGATCAATGATAATTGATATTCAATTGAAATTTGATAGCAGAAATATTGTAATATATAATTGTTAAGCTTAATTTTCTTATTACATCTTGCAGCAGGTACTACATATGAAGGATCTCAATTTCAATTGGTGATATCGCCGAATTTAACAAAGTATTGGATACCAATAGTCCATGAAGATATAAAACCTAAAGTTTCAAATCTTGAAGTGAATATCCTTCCACCGAAGCAGGCAAAAAACAAAGGAAGTGGAAGCAGTACAAGAAGCCGATTATTGTCACAACGAGAGAAGTCTATCAAGGCAAGTCAAAAGCTGAAAAGGCGTCGTGGAAAGTGTGAAGTGGTGGGAAATCACAATAGTAGAACATGTAATAAGACAAATGAAGTTTCTGATTGTAATAAATAGTTATATAATGTATTTTTTTCACATTTTATATTCAGGTTGATTTCTTTATTGCTTCATTGCTACAATTTTGCAATAGTGTTACAATAACTATGCAACGTTATTTCAATAATATGCATATGATTTACAGTAAGTATGCAACTTGTAAATAACTATTTATGCCACAGGTATATAAATAAAGAATGCATGATTGTTAGAATAACTTAGCATCATAGTTGCAATAACTATGCCACATCGTTATAGTAAACATGCATAAAAAATATAGGAAATATGCATAAATTTTGCAGTAGCTATTAAATAACTATTTATGTACGGGTATAGAAATAACTATGCATCCTTGTTACAATAATTTTGCAGCTTTGTTACAAGTCGAATGAACCTGTCAAGCACAAACTGTAAACTAATTAAGCATGAAACATAAACTATCTATGCATAAGCCAATAACTAAGATAGCAACAAAAAGATAAGGTTGTTCTGCAACATTGGAGAACAAAAAATGCAGAAAATGTTGTGTTCGCCTGTACCATACGGGTTATAAGTAGCGGAAAATTATGTTTCAAAAACAAGTATTTATCGTATAAATACTCAACCCATACGTACATATAGCGATTGCATAGATCGTCATCATTTAAAAACATGTAATAATACAAATTTTGATTTGTTGTAAGTAAATTCAAATTTTACATTTATTCTTGAACTCCTTCAAAAACGATGATGTATGAGGAAATCAATTCCCGGTTTGGTAACGTCCACTCCTTGATGTTACTCGCTTTAGGAATCCAAATGTCTTCCCTCTAAGAGTATCCACCTTTTGAAATTCGGTTCCGACAATAGTTTCTTCGCTAGTAGAAACTACTCGGTTTTTCAATAAGTATGGAATATAAATATATATGAGGAAATTTTACAAGAACTCTTTCTTGTTTTATCACTCAACACTTGAATGTTATTCTTAGCTCAACTCTTAAGCTCAATATCTCTTGGAAGAACTTAACTAATTTGAACATCAAATATGTCCATATTTATACTAAACATTTTTATATAAAATAATAATATTGGGTAGAATATTTTCATAAAATATAAAAAGTCTTCAAGAATATTTTCATAAAATATTAAGTCTTGAATAAGACTATTCCCCACCCAATATTCTATTAATAAAAATAAGATTAATTATGTGAAGTGGTTAACAACTCTAAACCACCATAATTAATTTATTCTTATTAATATTTAATCTTTAATCATATTAAAGATAAAATAATAATTCTTGAAAGCATCTTTCAAGACTTTATTATTTTAATCTTTTCTTCCATTTCCTCATTTAATAATCTTATTATTATTTGGATTTGAAATTTAAAATCCAATTTTAAATTCCAACTATTAATTAGTAATTCCATTAATTACTAAATTAATATCCAAAATTCAATTAATCAATCCAATTGATTATTTTAATATATTCCTTTAATTGACATCTAATCAAATTAGATTTGTCAATTAATTCTAACTCTTTAGAATTACTATTTGAATTTTACCTTCATTCAAATTTAGGTGTGACCTTTTAGGTTCACAATTAATACTAGTAGTGGGCTTACAATCTTTGTAATTTGAGTTAATAAAATTAACTCTTATTCATGAATTAACTCCTTAATTCAAGAACCCACATATCATGGTAACATCTAGCAAGTAGCATGAATCTAGTATTAAGTGAATAGCGAGTAAACCTATTTCAATTACAAGTCCATACATGTAAAATCCTTTCGACATCCAATTTCCCGATTAAATCTTGGGTATGATTTTGTCGAAACCCAAATTGATTTAATAACTATGATTCTATTTCAAGTTTGGTAATTTGTGTATGAATCTCTATTCATCCTGCCTTGGCCAAAGACTTTGAATTACTAACTATGAAACACATAGGAAATTCACTTATCTTCATAAGTGTCGAATCCTTTGTTGGCCACTGACAAACTTCCATACATATTAATATAATACCCAAAATATCTCTTTATACGATTGTGCTAGCAACCAAAAGGATAAATCAAAGTAAAATATAATATGCACAAAGTTACCATCGTGCCTCAAGTCTAAGGATTAGTCATGTACTATTGTAACATGAAAATTCTTATTCGACATGATAAACTTTCATTAAGAAGTTTCATACGGTCATGTTCAGTGAACTTGTTCTCTAACAAGCACCCACATATATGTATTTGCGCCCCACGCTAATGTTGATGAAATGCAACATTCTTGTCCAACAAGTATACATCGTATGTGCAAGTCTTTTCCGGATTTATTCGATATCCCATCTCGAAACATCCAACGACTTGGAACTGTGTTTAAGATCACAGCTTTGAAGGTATGTTCCATGATCACCATCTCTATGCGCAACCATACCTTATAGCTATATGTGATCTAGGGATTTTATCTTAAGTGCAAATATAGGATAAATGCTTACTCTTAAAATAAAGTAATGCCTTTTAATTAATATAATTCCAATAGATTGTATTTACAAGTAGAATACGTCCAATCTGATTGGAACGCCGGGTATCCTACTCTAACAATCTCCCACTTGCCCTAGTTCCAATCACTCATGTATCTTAGAC